TGTATTCAATTTTTCTCTGGAGCTGATGGGTGCATCATTGTAAGACAGGCAGGATGCAAACCAGGATCACACGTACTCTCTGCAGCTTATATCCATAAAAGCTTTCTAGAGGTCACCCAGCTAATATACACACAATAGTAGATGATGTTAATAGGATAAATTTACTGCAGGAAGAGGAAATGAGTCCACATCACTCCTGAGCAGTTTCCCATATAGACACAGCAGATTTGTCCAATCTCCTCACAGATCTTTATTTTACTTTTGGTGACAGCAACAGGACTTCTATCATTGACACTGGCAGGAAGAGAATTAAGTCCTGCAGTTTACAGAAGAGCTCTACTTAATCTGTCTCATCATGTTTCTGTACTTAGCAGAGGGAAGATCTCCATCATTCAAGCAAGTATGAGTGCACCAAGGCAAAAATATTGAAATTCTATTTTTTTAAAGAAAACTTAGCCATGGATAGAAAAACATGGGTTTTACTTTTGAGATTAAAACAGAATCCTCTTCTACAGAGGCACAAACTCTGTTTCAGAGTAACACACACCTGTATCTGATTGATTATGGGTCATTACTGACTTGCTATGTCCAGGTCTTTCACATCCTCGTTTTATCAAAGGAGAGGACGTGTTTATTCCAGAAGAGCCATGTGGGAGGCACAACTTGACTTGCCAGGGGATCCCACAGAAGAGTGGAAGATGAGGACATGAGCTCTGGAGGACAGAAGAAGCAGGCTCAAACAAAACAATGGGAGCCTACATGAGCTCCAGATCAGAGACATGTAGTTTAGGGCTACAGTGGCTTTGGCAATAACAAGTAAGCATTGCCTCTTGAGGGAGAGGGAATGAGTTTAGGATAGAGACCATCTTTCATTCATCCTAATAAGAGGAACTCAGTGAATGAGAGAGTGCACATGCCAGGTTGGGGCAAGGGTGGATCAGGTGTCCAGTCACTGAGGTGCTCAGGGAGATGGATTGTTGTTTTGCCAATTACCAGGCCTAATATAAAGGACACAGCCAGCATAAAGATGAACCAATAACCAAA